CAATTTAAACATGACAGGCAAAGCTTACAGACTAAACAAAACCTAATTGCATTCTAATAGTTTTGTTGTTTTTCCAGACAGGGTTTCTCTGTAGCTTTGGAGTCTGTCCTAGAACTCACCCTGTAGACCAGGCTGACCTCAAACTCAGAGATCCACCTGCCCCTGCCTCCCCAGTGCTGGATTAAAGGCATGCGCGACCACCACCTGGCCCTAATAGTTATTAAATGAAGACATAAAACTGAAATTCACTGCAGGTGGCTTATCTGAAGCTTGAAAGATGTTTCCATTAACCACATGGGGAAACAATTAAAAAGAAAACTACCCATTATAACCTCCAGATAAAGTCAACTATTTTAAGCCATTAAAAATCACAATGGAAGGGACTGGAGAGATGGTTCAACTGTTAGGGCATCTGCTGCTCTTGCAGAGGACAAAGGCTTGGTTCCTAGCACCCATAGCTAACTTAAAATCTGGAACTCCAAAATGGTGCCCTCTTCTGGATTCTAGGAACAGCAGATATGCACATTATGTGCACACAGGCAAAACAATCTTTAAATACAGTGGTCAAGGACAAGGAGCATGGGTGCCACTGGTAAAGGTAGGAGGAAGGGAGGGGAGTGGTAAAAAATGCAATGCCTAAAGAGATGTGTACTCTAAAACTCATCCATTCCCATCCATCCACATAGTTGGCTTTTCAAGACTAACTTATCTGTTTAACAGCTCATGGAGCTTGCTCTGTAGGCCAGCCTAGCCTCAAACTGATCTGTCTCTGCCTCCAGATTACCATTGAGCTCCACCCTTAATAGTTTAAAGCTCATAATTTTACATAACTTGGGACATGTTTATGCTATTTAGACCTTAATCAGTGGACAAATGCTTACCTTCCAGTTCCCAGAACTATCCAAAACCCTACCAATGCCCGTTTTCAAATGTGCTAGCCAAAACTGGTCACGTCCCCTGAATTGTTAGTCAACCTAATGGCTTAACAAGATCCTGATCTTGCTGAAAATAGCGCTTAAGAACATCAGGAAGTTCAATCTTTATCTTTTTTTTCCTGTTTGGCAGGTTTGTGAACAGACTGAACCCTGAACCTTACGCATGCTAAGCAAAGCTCAGGGGGAACACTCAGCACATGGCACTATAACACCCCTCTCATCCCGACAGTAAAATATATCCTGATGGAAATGGAATTAGTAATGTAGAAGTAGCAATTTGTGGTCCCTAATTACATGAAGCCAGTATGTGGTGTAAAAATCCCAGGACTAAGACCCTCACCTGGACTTTAGGTTAGGCATCCTCACAGACCCAGCAGTGACACAGCCGAGGAAGTGGAATCTGAGCCACAAGAGCAGCCTGGGTTTAGAGTTGTTAGACTCTAAAAACTCAAATGTTATGAAGACTCCCCACATCTTAGGGTGGAGGCGCTGTAATACAGAGCTGACAGTTCTTTCCCCTATTTACTTCACATCCAACCAACGAACCTTCTTTTTAAGGTTTAAGTTGTCACACGTGCAACTCATTTCCCCCAGCCTTTCACCATTTCACAAGCCTATTATCTCAACCAGAAAGTCTATAAATTCTACAAACACCAATTATCCCGTGTTGTTGTTCTACTAGAAGACTTTCTCATTCTGTCTTTTAAAACAAGCACCAAACTTGTTACTGCTATATTCACATACAGGACTGAGCGAAAGGAACACTGCAAAGTGAGAAAACAGAACACACACACACTTCTAAAAATATTTTAATGAAAAAGTCATCTGTTAACATTTCATTATACTACAAATTAAACAACTGAATTCAATACAGACCACCTTCGCTGTCATAAAAAAATTAAAAAATGAATACTTGGCAAGACTACCGTTCCTCACAGCACCTACACATCCCCATGCTTACCATTTAGCATGCCCATCACTCATTGTCAGGAATGTTTTGAATTGCAACATAACAGTATCATTGAAAACAAGCCCATTTTTCTGTAGCCCATGTTCTTGAAATGTGAATGCAGCTTAGACATGTAAAGTAGGAACAGTATCCCACAGGTCAAACAATACCAATTGTTTCCTGTTCACCTTTTGTATGTAAAATGCTTTTCCAAAAATGACAGTGGAACCACAGTAAGTAAAATCATTTTATTTCAGAAAGAAAATGGAAAATGCCTGTTTAAAAAAAATGCATTTCTCTAAATCTGAATATAAGAACCACCATTGAAAGATTGCTACCTTATGACCTATGGTCATGTAAATTCAGTCCTGACTGAAATACTAAGCAAACTTAGTATAGGGAAAACATATAGGGCATTCCTGTGTGAAAAACATCTCTAACCAGTATTTTTGTGAACTTGACCTCTGAAGATATTAAATAGTAACCTGAATTAAGCAATTTTCAAAGCCCTTTCAAGGAAGCAACAAAAACAAAAACAATAGCCCTTATGAACAATCTGCAACTTATCTGAACAGTAACTCAATTGTTCTTTGGATTTTGTTTTTTAAGGAACATGAGTGACAAACAGGCACCACCCTTTAACCATCCCAGCATTTGTGGGACAGGCAGGTGGATTAAGTTCTAGGCCAGGACAACAGTGAGACCCTGTGTTTAGGGAGTGGAGGGGACAGACACACAAGTAAAATGACTCTTCCTAATAATGGTCCACATGATAGTGAACTGATACGCAAGAAAACCTTGAGGAAGACAGGCATTCTGGCAACAGTGAAAGTAACCCATTTTCCCCAGGGTAGGAACTAGTAGCTTATTCGAAGTCATTTCAAAAAATTATTTTCTGGAATGCCAACATGACTTTCTTATCCCTCTCAGAAAATGGATTTTACCATAGATACCAATGGTATCTATGTATGAAGAGGCCACATTTGGCTTTTGACAAATACCCATGGTCACTGCAGAATGTAACTTCCTGAAGTTTTGGAATTTGTTCAACAGGGTACCCCAAATAAAACTGAGCTTGAGGATCCTGCTAGTGTACCTACTAATGGGGGTAATGTTCCAAACTGTGGCATGGATTTGTAGGGGAACCAAAGGTGTCATCAGGTTTCACTGTGAGCTACAAACCTTACCCAGCCAGAACCTTCGTATTTAAGATGGTAGGAATGACATTCCTCATTTAGGCAAGTAGGGTTCTCATTCACCTGCAAATTAAAAAGATTACTCTTACCTTGCTTTACAAAAATGTACTCTTTAATTAGTGAAAAAATTCAAATTCAAGCCTTACCTAATGCTTATTGCCCTTCCTTGCAGGTCTAAATGCTAGACCTAGTGACTGTGGCAACTATCTCATTGATGTTCCAAAAGGCGGAGCTCCTTCCTGCTACTTTCTTCGACATTGCAGTTGCAATAAGCAGATTTAACTAGCTTTTGGACAGCTGCTCACTATCACCATAGTATCTTATGCCTCCACTTCTCTGTAGTTGAAGTTCTTGCTGCTGCCTTCTCATTCTTTATTTATGCTGACTTGTCCAAACACAAAGGCTGCTGAAGTCCTGTCTTAGTGGTTTCCTTTGATCCACAACTTAGGTCCTTTAAAGCTGGTTAAGTCACTCTCATGGCTTACTTTTCCATTGTTCACAAAAGCTAACCTTGTACAACTTATAAACAGGTCACATACAGATTTCACCTGATTATAGGTTGTAAACATCAACTTACTTAAAATGTTTCACTATTATACTTGTTCCAGAATATAAAAAGCTGGTTAACAATACAATCGACCTCATGACATTAAAGGATACTGTCAAGGTTGTGTCCAACAACTCCACAAATAAAACCAGGAAATGTTAACCTCCCCAATTCTTTAAATCTTTATTATTATGAATAAAATGACTTGAGACAATTTAGCTCAGTTTTAATATTTCCTAAGCATTTTGACCAGGTACCCGGGTTTAAACTATGAACATTGACAGTGTCCATTTATATAACCACACTTTGTTATGAAAGATGTAACCATTTTCTAACATGAGCCTATTTTCTACACTGCTTATTCACATATGCCCATTAACAAATGGAATGTTGTCTGTTACATTTATTGGTTTGTGAGTGTTTTCTGGAAAAACTGCAGTATTTGTGAAGACCAAAGTTCCATGCTAGCATTGCATGCATCCAAATATTAATAATGCACAGAGGCACAGAATTAGAGCAACAAGAGAGCATATTTGAACACTAGCCCGCCCCATTCCCCTTTTTATTGCTTGTTTTGCTTATACTTCAAAAACCAAGTAAAAATTTGAATTCAACGTTCAACTGCCAAAGAAAGCAACAGCAGAGCACATACTCAGGGCTGGAAGGAAGTTAAGCACTAGCTGGCGCAACAGTAGACATTTTTCAAATGACCTTAGTTATCTAGAACTCTTCTCAACCAGGGTCTCTGAACAAACATCAACATGTTTTAGGATGAAATATATACAAAGAATAACTGTGTGTTCTTTGGGGATTTAAGCATTCAGGACTATCCAAATTTGAATTCAAGATCTTTGGGAACTGAGGTGGCTCACACTAAGCAACTGTGCTACATTTTCTGCTGCTTTGATTTGGACAATAACACCTTAACTATTCTTGGCTTCATCATCCAGCAAAATGTATAGGGTATAAACAGGAAAGCATGCCAGCCAGTTAGGGGTTCAAACAAGTGATTTTTATTCCTGTTCTGAAAATTGTTTGTGTGCAAAACTAGACCAAGGAAAGGGACTAGATCAGTGTGCTTTGGGATCTAAAACTTGAAAAGCAGGACAAACCAGGTATCCACCAGTTTGCTCAGACACAGCAGACTTAGTGATCCTGTATTAGAACTGCTAAACTGGGAGAGGAAATACATTCACCACCCTTTAGTAGAGGGTAGTATAAACACTTTATACCCCAAACTATTGGCAGCAGTTTTCAATGTGATCAAGGTAAATGAGGAATGGAGATGTTCTTAACACGGCTAGGACTCAATAAATCTAACATACTAAAACCATGATTACATTTTGAAAGAAAATGCACAAAAACCAAATAGGAACTTTTGAGATCTTTTTCATTTGAAAGTAATCTTAATGCTATTAAATTCACAAATATGCTATTTTTTATTACCCAGTCCTAATTATCTAAAACACACATTGCAAACATACAAATATCTATTCTCTCCACATGTCAACGCCCATTCATCATGGTTTTGGAAATGGGGAGAATAGATTCCCCTTAAATTGCAAGTCAGTAGGTGTTTCTTTACAGTTAACTTTAGCAAAATTCATACAAAATAGTAATTAACAATGATCTTCTTTACTTGTTAACTCACAAGGAAACACCTTCAAAACTGCGTATTTTTGTTAAAGTTTCTGTACTAAAATGTAGAAAAACTGAACTACACAAATATTGAAAAGTTAAAAATTCCTTAATTTTTTATTCCTGGTACCACTACCACAATTTACAGGGCAATATACCTGATGTAATGAAAAGAAAAAGAAAGACAAAGCTACAACAGATAAAAGACCTCAGGAATGTACATCTAATTGACACTACATTGCATTAATCAATAGCTGCACTTTTTGCAAACTGTGGCTCTGACAGTCCTGAACAAGAAGGGCCTCCTGTTTAAGCTGCGGTAACTTTTCTGACTATGGATCATCGCTCCTTCTGTGGCAGACTTTTACAGCTCCTCTAATGCATTTAGGACGACTGTCTCAAAGTAACCTGCAGCTTTCCTGACAACTCCTCGCTCTCTCTCCTGCTAAGAACTGTAGCCTGTTGAATAATACAGGATAAAAAAATTATTACACTCAGTTTCATATAATCTTTTATCATCACAATTTTTTTAAAAAAATTAAGGATACCTACCTTTTTCTGCTGTTTTTTTAAAACCTCCTGCTACCATATCCACCACTTCCACCACCTGATCCATAGCCACCTGGAAAATAACACATACAGTTCTAAATACACAGGAAATGTTAACCAAGATGGCTCTAAAGAATTCTAACTAAAAAGGACTTACCACCATAGGGGCTGCCTGAGCTTCTTCCACCAAAACTGCCCCCTTTCATGGGTCCATAATTTGATTGCTGTTGTCCACTATAATTTCCAAAGTCATTATAGTTCCCACCACCATAGTTACCTGAAATCACAAAGTTTTTATTTGTACTTTACCAGAATAATTTGGACAATCATGTTAAGTATTTTAATGCAAGCATTAACACCAACCTTAGGTACTAAACTCCATTTACTAGAAGCCTAAGTGAGCTAGCTAATAGATTTTGGGCTTAGTAAGTGAAACATTCAAAAGTACATTTCTAAGAAGCTCATCAAATTTCAGCACATTTTGACCTTATCATTTAGATCTGATACAATAAACCTTTTAAAGCAGCAACTAAGTACCAGCTCTCACATTACTAGTTAGGTTCAACAGTTCCCTACCAAAGCTGTAATAATTATGGAAAACCCATGGTACAGTATGTAGTTAGTACATAACAAATATATAATAGTAACACCCAAAGTATTCTAAGAGCTGATATAGCACCCTAGTCACCTAAGTATTCAAACAATTTGCACACTCCATTCTAAGTCTCCCCATGTAATATACTAACTTTAACATGTCCGTCTTACTTTATTAAAGTTCCTCTTATAAAATTACAATATCCACTAACACTGCAAAAAAAATTTTTAAAGATCAAATTTGCCTGGTGTGGTTAGGAGGTGGGTGCAAGGTTTCCAAGCCAGAGTCCAATACATTTTTAAGCTAGTTGGGTTATAATATAGTACCTCTTCAAAAAAATCTATTTTATGATGACAATGTTTTGGGAATAGTCATGATCATAAAATACTGTAAATATGCCTTAAGAGCATTCATTCAACTACTGTACACTAAAAGCCTTATTCCCTCCATGCATTATCCTAAAAACTGTTTTCTAATTGTGAAATGTATGCAGTATCCATTTTCCCACAACTTAAAAATAATGGGCATGGCCAGTCAGTTGAGTTTACATGGATGAACTTGTTTTTATTTATTATGTATATAGTGTTCTGAGCAGCAGATCTCATTATAGATGGGTATGAGCCATCATGTGGTTGCTGGGAATTGAACTCAGGACTTCTGAGTTAACCCATGAGCCATCTCTCCAGCCTGATGAGCCTGTTTTAATATTAGCTATTAACACAAAATTTCTTTCCCAAGTCTATCCTTAAGAATGTTTGAGTATTGCATGGTGTTTTGTGTTAATTTCAAACATTTGTAACTCACCTCCACCGAAATTTCCTCCTTCATTGTAACCGTCATATCCTCCTCCTCCACCACCACCATATCCACCACCTTGGTTTCCATAGCCTGGTCCACCACCACCATACCCTCCTCTACTGCTGTAACCAGGACCACCACCATAGTTGCCGCCTAAAAAAAAAAGCCAGAGACAAATGTAGAGGGAGGGCCCAAACACTTTTTGTTTCTACCACACTGTCACTGGGAATGTGCCACTGAACCGGATTAACACACTAAAATCTAGTCAGAGCAAGCAATCCTGAGGGCTGAAATCTTAAGATGAATCTTGTTTTTTCAACAAGTCAGTTTTCATTTTAAAAAATTCTCATTTTCACTAAGAATATAGCCTTACACAAAAGCAATTTTAGCTCAACTGCTGGTACAAATAGGTCGTACTGACTTAAGACAACTAGTTAACATTTGACTTCCATCCCCGGGAAGAGAGGCTTCTTTTGTGGTAAATTTTTAGTGTGGAAGGCATGACACTTTTACTGTGTTAAAACCAGCAAATCTGTGTTTTACTGCCTAGCATGAGGCCATGTGTCTGATTCCTGGCAATGCAGAAATTAAAGACCAAAATTCAGTCTTTACATACTCACCATCACCTCCAAATCCATTATATCCACCATCACCACCTCCATAACTACCTCTGCTGCCACCACCTCCACCACCATAGCCTCCTAAGGAAAAAAAAAATCAAAGGTTGAATTAACACTATACCTTCAATTTACTAGTAAGTTTATGATGCATTAGCACTTAAAATGTACCTTACCTCTTCCACCAAAGTTTCCACCACGACCAAAATTACCTCCACCACCTCCAAAGTTCCCTCCACGACCCATAAAATTGCCAGATCCACCTCCACGGCCTGTAACACAGGTCAAAGTAGAAATTTCAAAATCTTTCAACTACTATTCATATCTTATTTATTTGTGTATAATCCTACTTACCTCTCTGTGATCCAGCAGACTGCATCTCTTGTTTAGAAAGGGCCTTTTTCACTTCACAATTATGCCCATTAATAGTGTGGTATTTCTGAACTACAAGTTTTTAAGTAAAAGACAAAAAAAGGTTATTTTTGCTTAGAAAAATCATAAGTAAAACCCTTTGCTACCATGCAATTAAAATAATGTTAAATTGGCAGACTGAGAAGTAGATGACAGGATATATGGGGAAGAAATGGTTTTGTTTTTTAAGACAGGGTTTCTCTGCGTTAACAGCCCACTGTCTTGGAACTCATTCTAGACCAGGTTGGCCACCTGGTGAAGAAATGTTCCTTAATTTAGATGCGGATCACATCAGATCTCTACATTATAATAATTTGTACAGTTATGAAGTAGCAACAAAAATAATCTTATAGTTGGGGTCTCACAACACGAGGATCTGTATTAAAGGGTCACAGCATTAGGAAGGATGAGAAGCACTGCTCTCACGTTAGTGGATTCATTTGACAGAAATCATTCATGCAACACCTAATTTTTACTTACCAACAATTTTATCAACTGTGTCATGGTCATCAAAAGTCACAAAAGCAAATCCTCTCTTTTTCCCACTCTGCCTGTCTTCCATAACTTCTATGGTTTCAATCTTGCCATACTTTTCAAAGTAGTCTCTCAGGTTATACTCTTCTGTATCCTCTTTAATACCACCGACAAAGATTTTCTTCACTGTTAAATGGGCACCAGGCTTTACAGAATC